CATTTTGTCTTTCCGTTCATTTCAGAGGATAGACTTCAGTGATGTTACCACGAATATAATCACATACATTTGCTTATATATGTATATATATATATATTTATCATTTCTATATTAATCGTATGTTTACGTTTTTTCTCATTCAATGAAATCTACGCAGTATTTAACGTATATTATTGACTCAATGTTGAATTTTTTTGATCATAAGTTTGTTCTGATACATAAAAGTTCAAGTTTTCCATCAAGTGTATCTTGTTGAGTGAAAAACGTGTAAAAAACAGAGTTTGAACAGACGAGTAGTATTGCGTGATATTGGATATACAAATGTTGCCAGGCTTCGAATTTTTAGGTTAAGTATCAGTTAATTAAGTTTTAATTACATGTATATATGGTAAATATTTAGTTTCAAAGCTTTGTGTTTACACAAGAATGAGTATTTTTATCGCAATCTAAATAAAACTATATAAATTGAATTCACTTCAACATTTATTCAAATGGTTTTATTTATAGAAGAAAACTGTCAGTTAGACGAGTTGTTTCACTCATGGAGAAGCGAATTGCCTATCACATCAAAAGAAGAAGAAAACATAATATTCCCGAATTATGATAAGATTGCAAATAAAACAGAAAAAGATGTATTGGATTTATCAGACTTTAAAGAGTTTGACCTCAATTTTCTACAAAACAGTTCAGGTATGTATCAAAACATATAATCTATAAGAAATAGTCTGTTCTTCACTTTTTGGAATTTACAGAGTTAGGGGAAATAAATGAGATAAGGAATGAAATTAAATTGGAACCTGAAAGTCCCGATGCACAATTTTCATTATCATCCGGTAGTCCAAACCATTCAGAATCTAATGACTCAGATAAACAAGAAACAAGATGCTTTATGCAAGAAGTATCAAATTGTTCAGCACAAAATGTGGACACAGAGGTATTTTATATATAAAAAATGTATAGAAAGAATGTGTGTGTGATAATAAAAGCTATATTCTAAGTTGTATTTAATTAAACTTAATCTTTTTTTTTTTCTAGCTTTCTTTAAGATCACCGCTAATTTCTTGTGTACAATATACATCCTCGTCATCACAATCATTTCAATCATCTTTAAATGTAATGCAACCAGTTGAATTTGTATCTGTTGACGAGGAAGATGCAAGGCATGCACAATTTATTCAAACAAAAAGGGATTTTGCGAAACATATTAATATCCAGTGTTCACCAGTAGATGTCGCACAACATATAAAAAATGGTAAAAATATAATATTACTTTTATATACATACAGGACAGACAATGTGTGCATCACATTTTAAGAGATAGATGTTTGATGTCAAATTGTCAGAAGTAAAAGAAATGTTATTGTAATGATGTTATAAATAATATAATATAATTATTGTTATCAATATCATGACCAAAAATTTATTTATTTGAATGACATGCATGTGTATTGCCTTTGTAATAATATATATGTTATGTTACTATTAAATATTATTCATATTTTCAAGTGTTCACACACATTTACAATTGATATAGAGAATTTATTAAAAGCAAAATTTTTAAATGCAGAATTATTAAAAGCATTAATTTAAAATTATTCAAAATATTCTCCGTAATATAATACAATTTCTCAACAGTTTATATAAATAATTTATATTAACTAGTAGTTAATAGTTTATATTATTATTCACAACAAAAAATATTCATTATTTCCAAAACTACTAATTACAAGTTTAATAACATTATGATTATATATAATTATCAAACACATTAAAACTATGAAAAAATCAAATGTATTTCATTTTCTTTAAAAGGTATAAAGTCTTGATTATTGATAATTAATTACTTTTAAGATCTCAAGGCGTGTTTATTTTATTCTTAAGAAATTTTATATTAAATTTCTATCTTACTGTTTTTTATTTTAACTATTTCCAAATTAAATATAATATACTATATGTGATGTATCATATAGACATAAAAAAAATTATTTTATTTTGTATATGTGTTTGTGTACATATATATATATGTATAAAAATTTTTTTAAATATCTGTAGGTAAATCTGAAGATACTTTTATTCTTCAAGATTTTGCAACATTTACACAGAATGAAAATTCACAGTGTGTATTGTATCCTTCCAAACTTCAGATGTTACCGACAAAGAGACATGCTAGGGTACAAAATTCATTGAATATTAAACCAACTGACATAAAAACGAAGACTGCAGCGCTTCATTTACCACAGAACGTAAAAGTAATTAATACTGTATCAGATATTTGTCCAGCAAGTACTGCTGAATCAATAGATACAAGTAATCTGATAAGTTGCATACCGTTTCAAATAATGCAGGACGAAAAAATTTCATTAATTGCAAAAAATCAAGAGAACGATTTTACATTTTTGACAAAAGACGATCCAAAATTAAAGGCATTAAAAAGACAACAAAGAATGATAAGAAATAGAGAGTCTGCTAGTCTCTCAAGGAAAAAGAAAAAAGAATACGTATCTTCCTTGGAGAAACGAATAGATGAGTTGATGCAAGAAAATACACAACTAAAATCAGTAAGTAATCCATAACTTAAGTATGTTTTAAATTTCTACAAATTTCTAATAAGAAGTATAAGTTTTTTTTGCATAATTATTAACTTTTGTATAATTATCTTATTAGGAAAACAAAACTTTAAAGCAGAGACTATTGGAAATGGAGGATAGTATTACAGATGATAATAAATATAAACATAAACGTAAACATTTAAGTTTTAAACCTTTGTTAAAAAAGAAAGGACAAAGAAACCTTGTCCTCTTTGTAGGAATGATTTTCATAATATCTTTCAACATTCATGGTCTTAAGTAAGTGTTCTTCTATTTATACATTAACACAGTGACTTCTTTTGCAAAGAACTTTTTATGTGTTAGACACTATTATTACATTATATATATAAAGTTTAATGTTTTTACAACAATTATTTAATATTTTTTTATATGATATTGTCCACACATAAAAATCTTAAGTATCAATTGGGATATGAGAAAATACAAAAAGAAAAACTTTTTTATTGTAGAAATAATTTGTTCATAGCTATTAATAAAAAAAAAAAGAATTTTTCCATTCTTTCTTACATATTTCTTCGTATCAGAAATTAAATAAGATATTTTAGTTTTTCAAATTAAGCAAATTATTGTGTTTATGTATGTATATATATATATATATATGTATGTATGTTTCTCAGTTGTAATCATTGTCGAGACCAATCGCAATTTAGCAATTTAATAACTATTTTACCACCAAAACGCGTACGAACTTGCTTATCTTACAGAATTATCTTGGTGATTCGCTAGATGAAAGAGACGAGAATGAGCGAGCAAGACAGAAATATTTTATGAAATCGACTGTTTTTGCTTTTGATATCAAATAAGAGTTTCATATTATAAAAATAAGAAAAAAGGAGATAATTCGCGATTTTATAATTTAAAAACAAAATTTGTTTTATAACCAAGAAATTATTACTGTATTTTATAAATATAAATAATATGTATCTTTTTATTTCTGTTTAAGGGGAACACTTTCACAAAGTGTACATTTAAAAACCGATTCTGACAATTTACCAATAGCTATTCCAGATACAGAGATCAGACATAACAGAAGATTATTCTGGACAGTAGATGAAAATGAGGATCAAATTGAAAAAGATTTCAATAAAAGTGCACACCAACTAATGTGTCCAATGTATATTAATCAGAGCGAATTGATACGCTTAGATAGCGAATTGAGACGTTGGATCGATGGTGAATCCGACCGAAATAATCGGTCTGCAAAAGAAATAAAATTAAAATTAAAAACAAATCCACTAAATGAGCTTTTGTCATCGAAATCACAATTGGAAGAAAAGACAAAAAGAAAACTGTACTTATCGCGAGATAAAAAAATAAAAACTATACACAAAATGATCGATATTCCTGATCGATATTCAAATGACAACGCGATTGAGATCTTCTCTCCGATATTGAGTAAGCATGCTTCTCTATTCGAAGCTTTGGGAAAAAAAGATGATACATTTTATGTCGTCTGGTTTAGTGGTGAACATTTATTATTGCCAGCTTCTCGAAAAAATGATACAGCAAGACCTAAAATGTCTTTAGTTTTACCTGCTGTATCTATAAACGGTAAATAATGTGATATAATATACAATAACTGTGTTTGAATACTAGAGTAATACTGATTTATAACATATGTAACATTTTATAACTTTATCAAGAAATATGTTCATATTCCATACATCAGATAGCTAAACAGATGATATATAATTACAATAATACCTTTCTTTTTCAGGTACATTTTCGACGCCATCTAATCATATAACAATGATGCAAATTGATTGTGAAGTGACAAATACACAAATATTACATTTACAACAATCCATCATACCTGTTCACTTGCGAAATAGTAAATCTACGAGTCAATCAAATCAACCTCAGTCTGTTGAAGATATAGTTAATTCATCCATAGCTAATATAACCAGAAATTACAAACCATACTTTATAAGAGAAGCAAATCGAAAATTTCGAAACAGGAAACATTTAACTTGATATGATTATGAAGACAAGAATTAGAGATTTTTTGTAACAAGAATGTTGTTTATTTATATAAGAAAAAAGTATGTTTCTAGTCTGGCAATATAAAAAATGAAAGATACTAATCATACAACATAACAATTATTATATTATGTGATATTTGTTTATATAACAATACAATTTTATTACACATTATATGAGTGTACATGTAATCACAAAAGTGTTTATATCTTAATTTTGATCTAGATATATATATATATATATATA